AATGTGTTGGTGTTTATATGTATCCTATTTGTGTTCATCAGTACCTGTGACAGTCAGAGTTGTACCAGGTAAAATACTGTTCCATTCAAAGCTTCCTGCTGTGAATTTGAAGTGATACTGGGCTGAATCGCTCTCTCTCAGGTCAGTGATTCTCAGAGTGGAGCGTCCTCTCTCTGTTTCAAGGACCTGAACACGACCTGCATACTGGGAGTCTTCACTGAGGTCCTCAGACTGTGAGGGACTCTGCCACTGATGACTACGTTCAGGACTGAACCAGAATTTAGAGCTGATAGTTTCATGACTGTTGTAGGTGGAAGAAATGTCCACTGATGAGCCTTTGAAGGCACAGATGCTTCTGTCAGTGTAAGTCACTCTGTTGCAGGATTGATCAAAGACACCTGAAAGAAGATGAAAATACTTTAAAAAGCACTGTTACAACTGGAGACAGACATAGAGCTCATTGAGAAGAAAAGGTGCTGAGACAGAAAGGGGAACTGGGGATGTTCATGTTAAACGTGCAGCCATGTGGGGGAGCTATAAAGCTCCATCAGAGAGTGGAAGACTGTGGAGGAAACTCACACACTGACGGAGAGGGGAAAAGCTCATATCCTTTTACAGCACATGAAATGCTGTCTGCACGATCAAAGTAGGCTGAATATTCAAGCGTTCCCTCATTTATTTTCTGTCCATTCTTGTACCAGATGTAGGAAGGACGATAGGGTAAATGACAACTGTTGAGACACTTCAGCTTGGCCCAGGAAGGAGAGAATATGTATCCTGTCCTCACCTGCACCTGGAGATGTGGATCTGTGAAAGAATAATACAGATATGTCAACCTACACACACACACACACACACACACACACACACACACACACACACACACACACACTAACACACTGACTAGTGTTTCTAAGATGTTAAAGATTGTGAAATGGACAGAATATCTTCAATTGAAAATGTTACCTGTAGCAGACCCAGTGCCTCCAGGTGAACCAGTAAAGCTTCCTGTGCATCCGGCCTCTGTGGCAGCAGGCAGATGAACTGAACAGGTTAAAAGGCAGACTATTAATTCTTAGAAAGGTAGCGTGAAGGAAAATAGTAAGTGTGTATTTTTGTTTGTTTCCTCTCTGTTCTCTGTGTGGGCAGGTTACTGCTGAGAAATGCAGAATACTGAGGTGTGAAAAACGAATGCACACTGTAATAAATGGCACTGAAATAATGAAGCAGAGATATGGATATACAATGGTTATATAATGATCACAGTAAAAAGTTGTTTCATTGACTGAGACGTCAACAAGCTGACCACTGATCTACTATGTAGTCCTCCTCTAGGAATTATTAGACAACTACTTAGTAATGACTCATCAATTATCAACATTGTTTCTTAATTAATGAGTCCTTAGCTACTCCCTATAACATTTGATTAGGAGTTACTCATTAATTAGGGGTTCCCTAGCTGGTTAGTTCCTCATTTATGTCTGGTAACTACTCAGAATCTTGTGTGTCTTATTGTGAAATGTCACCGTAGCTTCTTTGATTTCCTGTGGTCGGACTGCTGCAGAGGGTGGATGGTAAACAGTAAATGGACCTGTACTTGTATAGCGCCTTTCTAGTCTTCCGACCACTCAAAGCGCTTTTACATTACGTGCCACATTCCCCTTTTCACACACATTCACTCAGTGATGGCAAAGCCCATCGAACAGAAACTAACGCATTCATACACATTTACACAATTCAGATTTCAGTATTTTGCTCAAGGATACTTCGACATCGATCAGACCAACAACCTTCCGATTAGTCATAACCTTACAACCCGCTCTACCTCTGAGCCACAGCCGCCCCGATGGAAACTGTAGGGAAATACAGAACACTGAGGTGTGAGCAACTATTGTGGCATGTAGATAGAAAATAGTCACAACTACTGACGTTTTAAAAAAAGTCCCTCAAACTAATTTTGGCTGATGCACACGTCTGTTTTGCACACGGTGAAATTAAATCTGACTTCTGCCTGCACCCGTCACCTGTCCTTTTCCTGTAATCTGAGGATTTTCTACTGTTTGCCTATAAACCTATGTGTATCACTTTACCAATAAACTTTTCCTGCCTGTCTGTCTGCATTGCTTGCTGCCTTGTATTCACTCTGTGACAGTATCTCTACACACTTTAAAGCAACAGTAGACACACAAAGCAGCGACACAAGCTGTAAACACACCCTGGACATATTGTCTCCTTACAGCGTTGATATGGGGTTTGTGAACAGTTGCTTATTTACACATCCCGCACACACAGAACAACATTAGCATTCATTCGGAGTCGTATTTCTGGCTGTCTGATGAATTGATAATTGATGATTAGTTCATCCTGTTTAAGCTCTGGTCTGGTCTCAGCCAACTACTCACAGAAATATGTGGCTCTGTAGCAGCTTCATACTCCACAATGTTCACCAGCTAGGCTCTAACTTTGTCTGTGGTTTGGTGCTAGACAGGTAGTGTACAGTGGGCTTTGTTTCCACTGAAATCAGCTGCCTGCTGCTCCTGGAAACGAGGCTGATGAGTGAACTAAAACCAGCAAAGAAGCAGACCAGAAACCCAAAACAATGAGCTGAAAGACATAAAAACACTGTAGAGATAAACTGCAGAGTCAGGTGACACCTTTCACATTATACAGAATGATGTTGGAAGTTCCACAGAGCGATGGGTTTTATTCAACAAATTATAGATTTAGGATTTTTTCTTTGTTGGTCGTTACTTCCATCTACACAAACACAGCCTTGCTGTCTTTAAAGGTCCAATACCTCAGTTTATAAATTTTATAATGTCGAGATATAAGTGTACAGAGATGCTCTGTTGGTTAGCTTGTAGTCTCAAATTTCAAATCTTATCCTTTATTAAAACAGAAATTCTAGTGTGTTAAGTGCATTACATTAGAAGTGTAGATGTACAGTACCTTGTACAGAGAGAAGGAAGACAACAAATCCACTCGCTGCTGCTATTAAACTCATAGCTGCTCCTCACGTCTCTGTTCAATCAGCAGGTCGATCACATACACGAGAGATATTGTATGTCAGTTAGTCACAAAAAACATTTCTACATGACAAAAGGAGGATGTGGTCTTTGAATGATTCTGTCTTTCAGTGGTTGGCACAGCTGTGTTAAAAATACACTGAGGTGTTAAAGGTTTCTTCCTCTTTAAGTCAGTAATATCTGTGGCCTGGTCATGAGTGATGAGAAAAGGTCTTTTATGGTCTCTTGCATAGATCGTGGCAACTGATGAGGCAGGTACGTGCACTTTGTGTCTGGCTGCTACACAAGCTGTGGACACCTTTTCAACAAGCTCTGCCTCTTGCACTAGGTGGAAGGTCTGTCTCCGGACACAATCCAACTCCTTCCCTCGAGCTGTGTCAAACTCTGAGAGTACTAACTGTCTGCACCCTTCAGAGGACGTTCGTTCTAATTTTGCCAGGTGGAGATGAATCTAGTTCTGTGGTGCCACAGGCTTTGATCATAAGGAAACCCTTCTCTCTGGGATGGTAAAGTCCATCACCTGCATGTCCAGCTCATTCTAGCCTGAGTAGGGTAATGGTAACATGTTGGCTGCTGTTTAAGCCATTAGCTGTACAGTGCATGTCCTCATCTTCTCCGTGGAGGTAGTCTCTGAAGAAGCTTTCTATCAATGTGGTTACATCATTTCCTGAGTCCAGCAAGCACCTTAAGGGGGACACCTCCTATCTGGACATCTACTTCAGGACAGGGCCCACAGCAGGTTCCAGAAAGCATTCTTTGGTGAAGGTGTTCTTTGATTCTTCTGATTGCCTCGCATTTCCCCGCTCATAGCAAAGGAGGACCCCTGTTTTTCTTTACCGCAGGACTAGGCTGAGCAGTAGACTGACTTCCTGGCTTACGTAGTGTAGTATCTAGCCTAGTCTAGTCTAGCCATATGCCCAAGTGCTTCACACAGCAGACAGATTGGCTGACCATCATTAGTATAGTCGGGCTCGATTTTAAGTCTACCACCCCTACTACCACCTTCAGACCTGAACTGGCATTCTGTATAATGAGTTCTCGAACTGCGTCGGTTAGCCCGCCAATAGCTTAACACTGTTATGTAATTATCTTCTATCTACTTCTTGCAGAGTCAATGCTATGTCGCTCCATATTCTGATAGCCACAGTAGCCTTGTCTGAAACATACACATACTACAATCATCAACGGTTGATGTTTTTGTTTTATCAATGGACAAATTATGGGAAAGTGCAATATGAATCAGAGCAAACAAACTGATTTACATTTTATTTGTGTTCATTACTGATAAATACAAACTTTATTCTGGATAATAAACACAAAAAGAGTTTGTTTAAAGCTGAAATCTCAAACTTTGTGCACACTGTCGCCCTCTGCAGCAGTGAGAGGGAACTGAAAATGTTCCAGCTAACAAAGTGAGATAGAGCTGGGCTTATGTTTGATTTCAATGTATTTAAATATATTCTGTACATGCTGTGAAATATTGTGCTTCAAGTTCAACGTGTCTGTTTGAACAGAGTTTATTGGCTTTCTCTGCCAGGACAGGTGACATGTGACAGGACAATCAGTATTTATTAAAGGCAGATTATCACATTAAAACTTAAAATAGCATTTTGCAATCATTAGCATATGTAATGTAGGTGCACAGGTAAAAATAAAGCTTGCCCTCTCCTCAGATCTTCTGCTCCATGCTGCTGCTGACTGCCTGTGCTGCTGACTCCTACCTGCTGCTGCTACTGAAAACTCAACATGAAAACTTTTGGAGTTGAAGGTAAATGTATCCACTTCCCCCACATCCTCCACAGCCTCGCTCTCCACTGGACTACTTCAGTGTTGTACTTGTCTCTGTCTCCATCCAGGTGAGTCCCCTCTGGTTTGACTGCATCTGAAGAAAATCACATCAAGTTCTGTTGAGTTATTTCTCAGAAATGGAACTAGGAAGTTGTTTGAGTTTGTTTCCATTCAGCAGACTCCAACCTGATGGACCTTCACACCAGGTGTTCCTGCTCCTCTGTGTCTTCTGTCTGTGCTGCAGTGACGCTGTTCAAGGCGGAGACGTTGATATGATCAGAAACAGACTGCAGCTGATGGGAGACACAACAAGATGAGAGTCAAAGTCCTCAGAAATGGAATTTGGATACAAACTCATTTGATATTAAAATGTGCTCTTTGGTACAAAGGACATCTGCAGTAAATGTGGCTGGAAAATGTAAATACACATTGGTGGTTTCTGATAAGGAAGATGCTACTAATCAAGTTATATGTAATGAGTGCCTCTGAATCTATAATCCAACAGATGACAACCCTTTGGTAGAGTAAGTTCTGTCACTGTGGCCCAATATCTCTCTCACCTCCATAGTCTCTGTGGGTTCATTTGGTTCAGTGCTGGAGCTCAGAGTTTTCTTCTTCCTGAATTCAATCCAAAAGCAAAAATACAAAGTTTAATAGAAAACTTCTAAACTGTGACAATAAACATTCAATCAGTGATGTTTTCAGTGATTTAACTGATTCATTTTAGTTTCACCTCATCCACAGACAAAACAGAAGCAGAGGAATCGGCATCACAACCACCAGAGTCAACCTGATGATATTTATCATCACTGTTGAGTTCCCTAGAAATGGAGACAGACAGTTATTAGATATACTGTACTGGACCTCACTAGTAGGGTTTGATTCATGAATCACTTTACCAGGTGATACTGTCTGTTAATCAGTCAGTTATTGTCATGGAGAAACTCACCTGCTACAGCAATCAGATGTAAGGTGGAGTTATGACGTCCTCTTGCATTCTGGGCTTCACAGTAATAATTCCCACTGTGTTCAGGTCTGAAGTCAGTGATGATGAAGATCTGTCCTGATGCTTTTGGTGAGTCTTCATTCTCCTTGTACCAGGTATAATTAGCTGCTGGGTTAGCATCACTGCTACAGGTCAGAGTCACTGTACTGTTGTCCACTATCTCACCAGAGGGACTCACTGACACAGAGGGAACCCTCGGAGCATCTGGAGGACGAAATGTACACAGAGACAACTCATCAACATCAGTGAATGTGTGTATGGTCATTTTTCAACATAGTAAAAGTAGGTGGTTGCTTAGAGAGCGGAGGGTGAAGTATTTTATAATGAATTCCTCTGATGCCGGTTTGAATCTGGATCCCAAAACTGCATAAAACTCCTAAAATCTCCTGGAGCTGCTCAGTGAATTACAGCAGACTGTGAATGTGAAGCAAGTAGAGCTGAAGAAAGTACACATGATCAGTAAAACCTCCTCCTGCAAACACTGGACAGATTTAAGTTGTTCTTTTTAAATAAAGTGTTTCACTCACATTTCACATTAATAGAGATGTATTGAGATGTTCTCCTCCCCAGCTCATTCTCAGCTGTACAGTAATACTCTCCAGAGTCAGAGGACTGGATGGACCTGAAGACAAGCTGTGGTTCTTTACTGAGAGGATGAAGGTCTGGATCTCCATTCTTCTTGTACCAGGTATAATTAGCTGCTGGGTTAGCATCACTGCTACAGGTCAGAGTCACTGAACTGCCCTCCACTATCTCACCAGAGGGACTCACTGACACAAAGGGAAGCTTCGGATGATCTGCAGAAGATATGTACATGAAATAAAGATTAGAATATGTTATCACAGATTACAACAATTTGAATTAAAATGTTTTTTGTTTCTTTCTTTTTGATTATTCCTTGTATTTGTCACAGTGGCTGTCCAGAGTGCTGATCCTGGAGCTGTCCCTGGTTAGACTCCTGCTGGTGGGAACTGACAGCCCCACTAGTTCTGTTTTACTTTTGTTGTTTGCTGTTAGAAACCAGTTTCATATTATTTTATCCTCCTCTGTGGTTGTAGCAGCACTAATGTTTGTTGGATTTACCATTAATAAGTAAAAGACAGTCTGTCTGTCTGTCTATCTGTCATGAAAATATATTCAGAAACTGGTAACTCTTTTTTAAAAGTTTTACCATGAAACAGTTTCAGACTGGCACTATCCAATATCCAAAATCTGATAACAATGAGTTTTAGAGGAACCCAGTGTGTATGTATGGTTGTTTTTATCCTGACACAGTGAAGTAAACTCACACACTGAGGGAGAGCCGTAATTCTCATGTCCTTTCAAAGCACAAGAGATGATGTCTCTGGGATAAAACCGGTCTTTATAAGAAGATGTCTCCACCGATGTGATTTTCGTTCCATTCTTGAACCAGACGAAGGAAAGAAGACCATCTGGACTGCAGCTGCTGTGACACTTCAGCTCTGCCTCAGTATAAGACTGATAGACTTTTATTCTGGTCACCTGAACCTGCAGAGCTGGATATGAGAACAAGAATCAATATTATTATCACTGGTTCTAAAAGAAATGGCTGATAGATGTACATACACATCAACACAACAGTTACTATTCCTACAAGTAGCAGCGAGCATTAGTAACTACACAACAGTAATTACACAAACTCATGATGATGATCATTATCAACATGTTCAGTGTTGTTAAATATACTATGTTGGTGTATTTCCATCAGTTTGTGTTCATCAGTACCTGTGACAGTCAGAGTTGTACCAGGTAAAATACTGTTCCATTCAAAGCTTCCTGCTGTGAATTTGAAGTGATACTGGGCTGAATCGCTCTCTCTCAGGTCAGTGATTCTCAGAGTGGAGCGTCCTCTCTCTGTTTCAAGGACCTGAACACGACCTGCATACTGGAAGTCTTCACTGAGGTCCTCAGACTGTGAGGGACTCTGCCACTGATGACTACGTTCAGGACTGAACCAGAATTTAGATCTGATAGTTTTATGACTGTTGTAGTTGGAAGAAATGTCCACTGATGAGCCTTTGAAGGCACAGATGCTTCTGTCAGTGTAAGTCACTCTGTTGCAGGATTGACCAAAGACACCTGAAAGATATTTAAACCAGAGTTGGTGAAAATGTCCATATTAAAAATACATGTAGTTATAAGTCTCCAGCAGATGGCGCTGTGTTAGCGGAAGACTGTGTAGTAAACTCACACACTGAAGGAGAGGGGGAATCCTCATGTCCTTTAACAGCACAGGAATAACTGTCTGCAGAGTAAAAGTAGTCTGAATAAGATGAAGATGTTTCTGTCTGAATCTTCTGTCCATTTTTGTACCAGACGTAGGAAGGATGATCAGGTAGATGACAACCTCTTTGACACTTCAGCTTTGCCCAGTAAGACAACCAACTCGTTCCGCTGACCAGCACCTGGAGACCTGGATCTGTGAAGAAGGAACAGGAATGTGATTTTAGACAAAACTATCAACATACACACAGACAAATACACACAACACATTTATGTTATTGTTCTGTAGATGTTAAACATTTGGAATAATTAACAGATGAATGAAAATGTTACCTGTGACCAACAAAGTGACTCCAGGTGAACCAGTATATCTTCCACCTGGTTGGTTTGTTATGAACCTGAACTTGTACTCAGCTGAATCGCTCTCTCTCAGGTCTGTGATTCTCAGAGTGCAGATGTTGTTGTCACAGTGATACTGAACACGACCTGAATACTCTGAGTCTGTTCTCAGATCCACAAATTCATTTCCATTCACTTTAGTAAACCAGGATGTTTTCTCAACTGTAGTATCACGGCCATATATTCTGGATGGATATCTGTATGTGCAGCGTATGTCCACTGTTGATCCTTTTAAGGCACAGATCTCAGTAGAGCTGTAAGTCACTGGCCAGTCATTCTGACCCTGTATCACTTTAACACAGAGCACATCAGAGACTACAATCAGACTCTAAACAACATCAAGAAGACCGACAGATGGAGCAAACTGTCTAAAAGGAGGGAGGATTGTAGTGGGAGCACTGGGAGGTCAGGTCTGGCTCTACTTATCCTTTCTAACGCCTGTTTTAAAAATGGGTATACACTGTGAATAAAGTTTTATTGTTGTTTCTTGTTAATGCAAAAGTTAGAATGAGTGAATGCAAAGGAAGTCAAAGATATACAGATGATCTCTGCAGTTAATCTGTAAGAGCACTGAGGCTGGACGTCATACAGAGGGTGCAGAGAAGGAACGGCAACGTATTGAAACTGTGTACTTTAACACAGTAGTTATTGACCTGGCTGAAGAATACATATCAGAAGGGTGTGATACATAAAAATAGTCTGCTGTGCTCGGTTGCTTGACTGTCTGTGGTCAGGCTGCTGCAGAGTGAGAATGGAAACTGACCTCTGGTATAGAAACTGTGATATGAAGATAACACAAACTAATTTAAGACTTCATTCTGGCTGATGTACAAGCTGATAATCTTCTGTGTATCACTTTACCATCAAAATCACTTAAATGTTCCCGTCTGCCTGGTTGTCTGCATTTGGGTTCTTTTCCTTGATACCTTGTATACAGCCTGTGACAGTTTGTTTATTGTAGTCAAAGCAACAGTAGACACACTTATAGCAGCACAACAAGCTGTAAACACAACATGGACGCATTGTCTCCTTATAGAGTTGATATGGGGTTTGTGAACAGTTGCTTATTTACACATGTGAATGCATGCATGTTTCTGGCTGTCTGGTGAATGTTAGTCCATTACTCTCTCTTGTTTTAGCTCTGGTCTGGTCTCAGCCAACTACTGAGGGAAATATCTGGCTCTGTAGCAGCTACATACTCCACAATGTTCTCAAGCTATTAGTAACTTGTCCTTTGGTGCTGGATGGGAGCGTATACTGGGTTTTTAGAGCTTTTTCACTAAAACAGCTTCTAACACAACGAGCTGAAAAACCCTAAAAACACTCTGTAGAGCTGAGAGGAAGTGCAGATAATTCTCTGTGGCTGCGAAGCAACGCCCTTCACATTATACAGTCATTGTATAAACTGTTAATACAAAAATATTCATTATGATAAATAGCATGATCCCAGCTCATTTTGTTCAATAGATTATTTAAAGGATTTAAAGGAGGATTCAGAGCTCTTTAAAGGTGAACAATACCTCAGTTTATAAAGTTTATCATGTATAGGTATAAGTGTACAGAGATGCTGCTGATATAAAAACAGACACAGTTCTCTGTTGGTTGTCCTGTACAGACTGCAGACATCACACCACATTGAAAACATCACACATCAAATCTTTCTATTTACTAAAAACCCCTCAGACTTTCTGACGTGTGCTAACTGCTAACTTCATATCAGTGTAGATGTACAGTACCTTGTACAGAGAGAAGGAAGACGACAAATCCACTCGCTGCTGCTGTTAAACTCATAGCTGCTCCTCACGTCTCTGTTCAATCAGCAGGTCGATCACATACACGAGAGATACTGTATGTCAGTTAGTCACAAAAAACATTTCTACATGATAAAAAGGGTGTACTTTTTACTCTCTCATTTCACAGATATAGAGGTGTTAAAAGCTGACCGGGCTTCCTTCCTCTTTCTTATTAATGGGCATTAAAAGACACCTCCCTACTGCTGTTTTTCAAACGACACACTAACTTTTTAAAATGTCGTTTATTGAAACGGATCAACTGACCGACCAACTTTGCCATCCTTAAAGCCATGAGGGTTTAGGGATGGCTAGCATGCATAAAAACAGGAACATATCAGTGAAGTGAACACTCAGTGTAACACTGGTCCAAAGGCGAGGAACCACACAGCAACGGTTCAATCAGCCCTTGATTTTAATGAGATTGGATTCAATTAAAAAGCCTAAACCAGACCTTCATCAGTCTGTGTGAGATAGACAGAGACAGAGCAGGAAAGAGGAAGTGAGGTCACACACACACACACACACACACACACACACACACACACACACACACACACACACACACACACACTCTCTGTATTGTGTGAAAAGTTGACGCACTGACAGATAAGACAGAGCAGCACAGTGTCTCTCCTCTCACACAGTGTGCATACAGGTGGGTGTGTGAGACAGAGTTGCTATGGTTACGGGGATGTTCTCTGCAACTCTGTAGTTTGAACATCATTTCACTTCCCTCTCACTGCTGCAGAGGGCGACAGTGTGCACACAGTTTGAGAGCTTTAAACAAACTCTTTTTGTGTTTATTATCCAGAATAAAGTTTGTATTTATCAGAAATGAACACAAATAAAATGTAAATCAGTTTGCTCTGACTTATTTCCCACTTTCACATTATTCCTCCATCAATAAAACTTAATGTAATAAACCTTTGCACTGGTAATACACACCCTAAAACAACAAGCAGCTGCTTGATAAAATAAAGCTGACTCACCAGTTTGCCTTGATGGGACAACAGTTGAAAAGAACTGGTGGTTCTGGGGTCAGTGGAGATTCGGGGTTAAGCCTTAAAATCTTTGAATGTGTCTGAGGATAGGTGACGATCAATAAGTATTACAATATGAGTGAGCAATAATATGAAGGAACAGTACCATTATTCATATTGATATCATGTTTATCATTTCAAACACACTCTTAACTCCTTTAACACACACTCCCTAGACACTTGTTCATTGACTCTGTCAACTAAAGTCACACTGAGCTTATTCTGCTAGTGTGTCTGTGTGCAGAGAAAGCTTATTTAACATATTTATTTATATTCATGTATGAAGGAGTGGCTTTGAGGCTTCTTCTTATTTGCTGTGAGATTTGAACGGGCAGCATGAGACATGTGACACAGACACAGAGCGGCCCCATAACCATAGCAACTCTGTCTCACAGTGTGTGTGTGTGTGTGTGTGTGTGTGTGTATGTGTGTGTGTAAGTGTTTGTATTAGTGACGTCACTTCCTCTGTCCTGCTCTGTGTTCCTGTGGCAAAGATTTTTTAAAACGTTAAAATGTTTATTGTCTAAACTTTATCTCACACAGACTGATGAAGGTCTGGTTCAGGCTTTTTAATTGAATCCAATCTCATTAAAATCAAGGGCTGATTGAACCGTTGCTGTGTGGTTCCTCGCCTTTGGACCAGTGTTACACTGAGTGTTCACTTCACTGATATGTTCCTGTTTTTATGCATGCTAGCCATCCCTAAACCCTCATGGTTTTAAGGATGGCAAAGTTGGTCGGTCAGTTGATCCGTTTCAATAAACTACATTTTAAAAAGTTAATGTGTCGTTTGAAAAACAGCAGTAGGAAGGTGTCTTTTAATGCCCAGTAATAGAAAGAAGAAGGAAGCCCGGTCAGCTTTTAACACCTCTATATCTGTGAAACACAACTGAACAGAGACAAACTGTCTTTAAAGACCACATCCTCCTTTTGTCATGTAGAAATGTTTTTTGTGACTAACTGACATACAGTATCTCTCTTGTATGTGATCGACCTGCTGATTGAACAGAGACGTGAGGAGCAGTTATGAGTTTAACAGCAGCAGCGAATGGATTTGTTGTCTTCCTTCTCTCTGTACAAGGTACTGTACATCTACACTGATATGAAGTTAGCAGTTAGCACACGTCAGAAAGATTAGAAAGATTTGATGTGTGATGTTTTCAATGTGGTGTGATGTCTGCAGTCTGTACAGGACAACCAACAGAGAACTGTGTCTGTTTTTATATCAGCAGCATCTCTGTACACTTATACCTATACATGATAAACTTTATAAACTGAGGTATTGTTCACCTTTAAAGAGCTCTGAATCCTCCTTTAAATCCTCTAAATAATCTATTGAACAAAATGAGTTGGGATCATGCTATTTATCATAATGAATATTTTTGTATTAACAGTTTATACAATGACTGTATAATGTGAAGGGCGTTGCTTCGCAGCCACAGAGAATTATCTGCACTTCCTCTCAGCTCTACAGAGTGTTTTTAGGGTTTTTCAGCTTGTTGTGTTAGAAGCTGTTTTAGTGAAAAAGCTCTAAAAACCCAGTATACGCTCCCATCCAGCACCAAAGGACAAGTTACTAATAGCTTGAGAACATTGTGGAGTATGTAGCTGCTACAGAGCCAGATATTTCCCTCAGTAGTTGGCTGAGACCAGACCAGAGCTAAAACAAGAGAGAGTAATGGACTAACATTCACCAGACAGCCAGAAACATGCATGCATTCACATGTGTAAATAAGCAACTGTTCACAAACCCCATATCAACTCTATAAGGAGACAATGCGTCCATGTTGTGTTTACAGCTTGTTGTGCTGCTATAAGTGTGTCTACTGTTGCTTTGACTACAATAAACAAACTGTCACAGGCTGTATACAAGGTTTCAAGGAAAAGGACCCAAATGCAGACAACCAGGCAGGCGGGAACATTTAAGTGATTTTAATGGTAAAGTGATACACAGAAGATTATCAGCTTGTACATCAGTCAGAATTAAGTGTCTGTTTTTAAAAGTTAGTAGTAATTTTATCTCTTAAATAAGTCTTTTTGTGTTATCTTCATATCACAATAGTTTCCCACGCCTCAGAGTTCTGCATTTCTCTATCCACACTCTGCAGCAACCTGACAACAGAAAGTTAAGCACACAAGCACAGCAGACTATTTTTTATGTACCACACTCATATTTAATCTTCTGCTTTTTTATCTGGTTCAGTAACTGTGTTAAATAATAAAGTCTCAATATGTTCCTTCTCTGCACCCTCTGTATGACGTCCAGCCTCAGTGCTCTTACAGATTAACTGCAGAGATCATCTGTATATCTTTGACTTCCTTTGCATTCACTCATTCTAACTTTTGCATTAACAAGAAACAACAATAAAACTTTATTCACAGTGTATACCCATTTTTAAAACAGGCGTTAGAATGTAGAGCCAGTCCTGACCTCCCTGAGGCCCTAAGTATAATTCTACTAAGGGGCCCTCTGACCTGACCCATGAGCCATGTAAACCATCTTCCATTGTCACACAGTCACAGCTGACCTCCCAGTGCTCCCACAAAAATCCTCCCTCCTTTAAGACAGTTTGCTCCATCTGTCGGTCTTCTTGATGTTGTTTAGAGTGTGATTGTAGTTTCTGATGTGCTCTGTGTTACAGTGATACAGGGTCAGAATGACTGGGGAGTGACTTACAGCTCTACTAAGCTCTGTGCCTTAAAAGGATCAACAGTGGACATACGCGGCACATACAGATACCCATCCAGAATATATGGCCGTGATACTACAGTTGAGAACACATTCTGGTTTACTAAAGTGAATGGAGATGTACCTGTGGATCTGAGAACAGACTCAGAGTATTCAGGTCGTGTTCAGTATCACTGTGACAACAACATCTGCACTCTGAGAATCACAGACCTGAGAGAGAGCGACTCAGCTGAGTACAAGTTCAAGTTCATAACAAACCAACCAGGTGGAAGTTATACTGGTTTACCTGGAGTCACTTTGTTGGTCACAGGTAACATTTTCATTCATCTGTTAATTATTCCAAATGTTCAACATCTAGAGAACAATAATATAAATGTGTTGTGTGTATTTGTCTGTGTGTATGTTGATAGTTTTGTCTAAAATCACATTCCTGTTCCTTCTTCACTGATCCAGGTCTCCAGGTGCTGGTCAGCATAACGCATCCCACCATGTATCCTACCTGGAGAGAGCTGAAGTGTCAAAGCAGTTGTCGTCTACCTGATCATCCTTCCTACGTCTGGTACAAAAATGGACAGAAAATTCCAACAGTAACATCTTCATCTTATTCAGGCTACTTTTACTCTGCAGACAGTTATTCCTGTGCTGTTAAAGGACATGAGGATTCCCCCTCTCCTTCAGTGTGTGAGTTTACTACACAGTCTTCCACTAACACAGCGCCATCTGCTGGAGACTTATAACTACATGTATTTTTAATATGGACATTTTCACCAACTCTGGTTTAAATATCTTTCAGGTGTCTTTGGTCAATCCTGCAACAGAGTGACTTACACTGACAGAAGCATCTGTGCCTTCAAAGGCTCATCAGTGGACATTTCTTCCAACTACAACAGTCATAAAACTATCAGATCTAAATTCTGGTTCAGTTCTGAACGTATTCATCAGTGGCAGAGTCCCTCACAGTCTGAGGACCTCAGTGAAGACTCCCAGTATGCAGGTCGTGTTCAGGTCCTTGAAACAGAGAGAGGACGCTCCACTCTGAGAATCACTGACCTGAGAGAGAGCGATTCAGCCCAGTATCGCTTCAAATTCACAGCAGGAAGCTTTGAATGGAACAGTATTTTACCTGGAACAACTCTGACTGTCACAGGTACTGATGAACACAAACTGATGGAAATACACCAACATAGTATATTTAACAACACTGAACATGTTGATAATGATCATCATCATGAGTTTGTGTAATTACTGTTGTGTAGTTACTAGGGGTGTAACGGTACACACAAGTCACGGTTCGGGACGTACCTCGGTATGAGGGTCACGGTTCGGTATGGGTTCGGTGCAATGAGGAAAAAAAATTTAAAAATCACATATAAAAGACTAGCTTTTTTTAATTTATTTTGAACAGACACCAATTGACTGCAAAATAAAAAACCATCTCCTGTTATAAAAGTAAAAAATAAATAGAATAAAACATAAAACAAATGTATTAGGAGGGTTCTCATTCTGTTAATACAGAGGAAAAGATAGACTGAGGTTGTCAGGTAGCACTTCTTGCCAACTGGCGCGAGGAAAAAAACGTCTTTGGTGCAACAACTTATCCCCGCTGCTTTTAAGCCACCTCTTGACATTAACCCAAAGACGGGTTTTTTCCTTGCACCAGTGACAGATATGTCGGGGTGATGCCGTCTTATGTGGGTTAGCATGTTTGAGGTGTTGCCAGCAACATGCCGCACCTCCGTGAAACATCACCGGCAGGTCCACCAGTCGCATGCCATCACCATTATATTGTACTGGGAAGCCAAAGTGCTCCCAAACAGCTGATTTAAATGAAGCCGGCGGCTCCTCCAACTCCACACTTTCCATCACTTTTCTTCTTTGTCCTTTTTTGTAACTACTTCTTCTTCTTCTGTAACGACTGTTTCTGGCAGCTTTTAGGCTCATTACCTCCACCTGGATTAAAGTGAGGACTCGACTTTTTTTTAAACTCACTCAGACGAATGTATGACTGCGTGCACCGAACCGTGACGCCCGTACCGTGACGGTTCGGGACGAATACAAATACCGTTACACCCCTAGTAGTTACTAATGCTCGCTGCTACTTGTAGGAATTGTAACTGTTGTGTTGATGTGTATGTACATCTATCAGCCATTTCTTTTAGAACCAGTGATAATAATATTGATTCTTGTTCTCATATCCAGCTCTGCAGGTTCAGGTGACCAGAATAAAAGTCTATCAGTCTTATACTGAGGCAGAGCTGAAGTGTCACAGCAGCTGCAGTCCAGATGGTCGTCTTTCCTACGTCTGGTTCAGAAACAGAACAGAAATCCCATTGACGGAAATGTCTATTAAATACCAGTTTTATTCCGGAGACATCATCACTTGTGCTTTGAAAGGACATGAGAATTACAGCTCTCCCTCAGTGTGTGAGTTTACTTCCCTGTGTCAGGATAAAAACAACCATACATACACACTGGGTTCCTCTAAAACTCATTGTTATCGGATTTTGGATATTGGATAGTGCCAGTCTGAAACTGTTTTATGGTAAAACTTTAAAAAAAGAGTTACCAGTTTCTGAAGATGTTTTCATGACAGATAGACAGACAGACTGTCTTTTACTTATTAATGGTAAATCCAACAAACATAAGTGCTGCTACAACCACAGAGGAGGATAAAATAATATGAAACTGGTTTCTAACAGCAAACAACAAAAGTAAAACAGAACTAGTGGGGCTGTCAGTTCCCACCAGCAGGAGTCTAACCAGGGACAGCTCCAGGATCAGCACTCTGGACAGCCACTGTGACAAATACAAGGAATAATCAAAAAGAAAGAAACAAAAAACATTTTAATTCAAATTGTTGTAATCTGTGATAACATATTCTCTATATTCTCTATAATCTTTATTTCATGTACGTATCGTCCTCCAGATGCTCCGAGGCCTCCCTCTGTGTCAGTGAGTCCCTCTGGTGAGATAGTGGACAACAGTACAGTGACTCTGAACTGTAGCAGTGATGCTAACCCAGCAGCTAATTATACCTGGAACAAGAAGAATGGAGATCCAGACCTTCATCCTCTCAGTAAAGAACCACAGCTTGTCTTCAGGTCCATCCAGTCCTCTGACTCTGGAGAGTATAACTGTACAGCTGAGAACGAGCTGGGGAGGAGAACATCTCAATACATCTCTATTAATGTGAAATGTGAGTGAAACACTTTATTTAAAAATAACAACTTAAATCTGTCCAGTGTTTTGCAGGAGGAGGTTTTACTGATCATGTGTACTTTCTTCAGCTCTACTTGCTTCACATTCACAGTCTGCTTTAATTCACTGAGCAGCTCCAGGAGATTTCAGGAGTTTTATGCAGTTTTGGGATCCTGATTCAAACTGTCACACATGCATTTGTCAGATCACATTCAAAGTTTAAAATGCTGATAGACACAGCTATTCACAGTTTATAATTTAAATGTTGTTTGTGCTACTGTTGTAAATCACATTTAACCTAGAATAGTGATGGTCTAATACGGACCAATTTCCAAGGAGGACTTTGTTAAAATACAACGAGTGTACAAAGTTGGGTTTGGGGTCCAAGAGGATTTTTTGTACATCTGGACATGATCTACGTGTGTACTGATTTTCATATTTCAGTAAGACCTACTGTTGGGGCTGTTCTATAGGGGGCTCTGTCTAGCCATTTTTCCATGCACGTGTTAAAGACCCATAGAACACATAATGTTTCACCGTGACTGGTGTGTGCCATATTTTTTTATGACTTTTTCAGCATGTTGCAGGCGCCAAAAATCTTTTTAGAGTAAAATAAAAATAAAAATTCTTGCAGATACAATGGAGCCTTTGGAGCGCTCACTGTTTGGGCCCTAATTGTGATTTATTATCGGTCTTTTGAGTCAAGAGGCAATGTGGTGGCTCAGTGGTTAGCGCTATTACCTCACAACAAGAAGCTCCTGGGTTTGATCCCAGACTGGGGCACAGCCTTTTTGCATGGAGTTTGTATGTTCTTTCTATTTGCGTGGGTTTCTTCCGACCATTAAAACATGTATGTTAGGTTAATTTCTCCAGTCAGTGACTGGCTAAGGTCTCGAGTTGGTCCCTGGATGATGATTGATTCATGAATCAAACCCTCCTAGTGAGGTCCAGTACAGTATATCTAATAACTGTCTGTCTCCATTTCTAGGGAACTCAACAGTGATGATAAATATCATCAGGTTGACTCTGGTGGTTGTGATGCCGATTCCTCTGCTACTGTTTTGTCTGTGGATGAGGTGAAACCAAAATGAATCAGTTAAATCACTGAAAACATCACTGATTGAATGTTTATTGTCACAGGTCAGAGGTTTTCTATTAAACTTTGTATTTTTGTTTTTGGATTGAATTCAGGAAGAAGAAAACTCTGAGCTCCAGCACTGAACCAAATGAACCCACAGAGACTATGGAGGTGAGAGAGATATTGGGCCACAGTGACAGAACTTACTCTACCAAAGGGTTGTCATCTGTTGGATTATAGATTCAGAGGCACTCATTACATATAACTTGATTAGTAGCATCTTCCTCATCAGAAACCACCAATGTGTATTTACATTTTCCAGCCACATTTACTGCAGATGTCCTTTGTACCAAAGAGCACATTTTAATATCAAATGAGTTTGTATCCAAATTCCATTTCTGAGGACTTTGACTCTCATCTTGTTGTGTCTCCCAACAGCTGCAGTCTGTTTCTGATCATATCAACGTCTCCGCCTTGAACAGCGTCACTGCAGCACAGACAGAAGACACAGAGGAGCAGGAACACCTGGTGTGAAGGTCCGTCAGGTTGGAGTCTGCTGAATGGAAACAAACTCAAAACAACTTCCTAGTTCCATTTCTGAGAAATAACTCAACAGAACTTGATGTGATTTTCTTCAGATGCAGTCAAACCAGAGGGGACTCACCTGGATGGAGACAGAGACAAGTACAACACTGAAGTAGTCCAGTGGAGAGCGAGGCTGTGGAGGATGTGGGGGAAGTGGATACATTTACCTTCAACTCCAAAAGTTTTCATGTTGAGTTTTCAGTAGCAGCAGCAGGTAGGAGTCAGCAGCACAGGCAGTCAGCAGCAGCATGGAGCAGAAGATCTGAGGAGAGGGCAAGCTTTATTTTTACCTGTGCACCTACATTACATATGCTAATGATTGCAAAATGCTATTTTAAGTTTTAATGTGATAATCTGCCTTTAATAAATACTGATTGTCCTGTCACATGTCACCTGTCCTGGCAGAGAAAGCCAATAAACTCTGTTCAAACAGACACGTTGAACTGGAAGCACAATATTTCACAGCATGTACAGAATATATTTAAATACATTGAAATCAAACATAAGCCCAGCTCTATCTCACTTTGTTAGCTGGAACATTTTCAATGTATTGCAGTGGCTGATTGAAATAAACATCCAGCTTCCACAACAACTCTGTAGTTTGAACATCATTTCAGTTCCCTCTCACTGCTGCAGAGGGCGACAGTGTGCACAAAGTTTGAGATTTCAGCTTTAAACAAACTCTTTTTGTGTTTATTATCCAGAATAAAGTTTGTATTTATCAGTAATGAACACAAATAAAATGTAAATCAGTTTGTTTGCTCTGACTTATTTCCCACTTTCACATTATTTGTCATTCAATAAAACTTAATGTAATAAACCTTTGCACTGGTAATACACACCCTAAAACAACAAGCAGCTGCTTGATGAAATAAAGCTGACTCACCAGTTTGCCTTGATGGGACAAGAAATTAAAAGAACACAAAAATATAGAATATTCAAAAATACAATATCAGTGAATACCCTCATGTCATGATGATATTATCAATAAAACATTTGCACATGAGTCTGTAAGTACTCACTGAAAAGCCCTCAGATAGTTTAAAAACTAAATGTGAACACACATTTAAATACAGTTGTAGGAAGTGTGACTCAGCTGGGGGTAATTATTCAAGTCAGCCATGTTTGATCACAGTGTTGCTTGTGTAGTTCCTGAAGTGAATTATGGCGTTGTACCGGTGCTGTTTTAAAGTCTTTTTTAACTTTGTGCTGTATTTTATACAACAACAAACCTTTTGAGAATCATCAGTCAAATGGTTGGACAATCATTCAGCCAGGGTTGCTATAATATCAGTTTATTGTCTCATTAACATTATATTCTCAATCTCTCTGTTTGCTGGTATGAAATGTAAATGTTAAACCACTCAAATGACACCATCACTTACTCTGCACCTGCCTCTCCTTTGGACCAGTGTCACACTGAGTGTTCAGTTCACTGATCAGTTCCTGTTTCAGTGCATGTCAGCCAAGTTGATTGGTCAGTCTGAACATTTCCTTAAACAACATTTCAGATGTTAATGTAGGGGCGGTCCAGTAGCTCACAACGTAGAGCTGAAGCCCCATGCACCAATGCTGAGCCCCTGCTGCAGAGACCGTGGGCTCGACCCCCAACTGTGGCCCTTTGCAGCGTGTCAACCCCTTTCTCTCTGCCTCCATCTCCTGTCTGTCTTCAGCTCTCTCTGTCCATCAAAGACATAAAAAGACAGAATATATATATTTAATAAAAAAAGAAGTTCATGTGTTCTTTGTATAACAATAGTAAGAATCATTTCTTAATTTAAACTTGGTGATTTACAGGCTCTTTTCATGCATGTTAATGAAGTTAAAGAGGAAGAAAGCCAGGGCAACGTTTCACACCTTGATGTCTTACTGTACAAACCACAGAGAGACAAACTGTCTTCAGATATCACATGCTCTTTTTTAATGTACAAATATATATTGTGATTAACTGACATACAGTATTCAACCCCCAGTATGTGATCGACAGAGACGTGAGGAGCAGCTATGAGTTTAACAGCAGCAGCGAGTGGATTTGTTGTCTTCCTTCTCTCTGTACAAGGTACTGTACATCTACACTGACATGAAGTTAGCAGTTAGCACACGTCAGAAATGAAGAGGTGTGGTTTTGGTAAAGAAAAAGATTTGATGTTTGCTGCGATGTGTTGTGATCCCTGAAACAGCAGACATTCACCAGTCTGCTAATGTCCATGACCAGACAATATGTCCATGCTGTGCTGCTTTAAGTGTCTCTATTGTA